GATAGATAGATAGATAGATAGATAGATAGATAGATAGATAGATAGATAGATAGATAGATAATAGATCGATAGATAAATGTGTTCTCTGGGCAGCTATCACAGCCCAACCAACTAGAGATGGAGATGGTGCTCGATGGCAGCTGCAGTGGAAGAAATACAGCAGTTCCTAGGATAAATTTAATGTCCAATTTCATGAGGGCAGGAACCAGGATGTTTGCACAAGAAAAACAATCCAGGCATGGTGGCCTATGCCTGTAATCCCAGCAACTGGGGAGACTGAGACAGGAGGATCATTAGTTCAAAACCAGCTTCAGCAATTTAGCAAGGCCCTAAGCAACTCAGTGAGACCCTGTCTTTAAATAAAATACAAAATAGGGCTGGACATGTGGCTCAGTGGTCAAGTGCCCCTGAGTTCAATCCCCAGTAGCCCCCCTACCTCCCCCCTAAAAAAAGAAAAAGAAAAAAACATCTTTTGAAGCCTTACCCTTGGACAATGAAAAATTACCAAATCAGTCCACCCAGACAATCAATAAAAGCTTACATCTCCCTGTGTTCAGGAATAGTGTGGTTCCCCTCTTGATTAGTGCTGTGTCCTTTGGCTGAAACTCCAATTAGAGCCTGGCCTGTAGGTGTTCAGCCTCTTTTCTGTCATTGCCATAACAAAAGATCTCACCTCCATGGACTGGGGTTGTAGCTCAGTGCTTGCCTCTCACAAGTGAGGCACCACATTAAAAAAATAAAGATATTGTGTCCATCTACAACTGAAAAAAAAAATCCCACCTCTAGCAACAAGTGTGGGGTGGGAAGGATGGAGAGAAGATGGTTAGTGGGTACCACAGCATGAATGGATGGGAAGAATAACTTCTGTTCTCTAGCACAGTAAGGTATCTATGGTTGGCAATAATTACTTGACTGTTTTTTTTTTTTTAATCCTGGTACTGGGGATTAAACCCACTCAACTATGTCCCCAGTCCTTTTCAGTTTTTATTTCGAGACAGTATCTCCCTAAATTCTGAGCCTGACCTCAAACCTGCCTCAGCCTCCTGAGTAGCCAGGATTACAGGTGTGTGTGTTACTGTGGCTGGCTTTAATTGATTATTTCAAAACAGCAGAGAGGATTTGAACATTCTCAACTCAAAGAAATAAATTTTGTCTGAAGCGATAGATACACCCGTTACCCTAATCTGATCATTACACATTATAAACTTGTATCAAAATGCCACACTGTATTCCATAAATATGTGCAATTACTATGTGTCAATTAAAAATATATTAATATTAAAAAGAAGATGAAATCTACCAAATCTTGTAGAAAGTAGAACAAAAGGGTGAAGAGATAAAGAATTGATCCAGAAGATCCAACATTTGACTAAAAGGAGCTCCTGAAAGAAATAATAAAAACAAGGAATCACAGATGTTTCCAGAATCAAGGAGCCTGAGTCCCCAGATTTAAAAAATCCACAAAAGCCTGGGAGTAAGAATGAAAGCCCTGCAGACGAGTGAGCACATGATATATCAGAACCCTAGGAACAAGCAAGAAGTCCCCCAAAGTGGGCACGGTGTTGCACACTATAATCTCAGCAGCTGAGGCAAGTTCAAGGCCAGACTCAGCAACTTCCTGAACCCTGTCTCAAAAAAAAAAAAAAAAACCGTGGTGGGGAGTGGCTGGGGATGTAGCTCAGTGGTAAAGCACCCCTGGGTTTAATCCCCCTTGCAAAAAAAGAAGAAGAAGAAGGAGAAGGCTATTTGACTTCCCACGGGCTAGCATGCTACCACGGGACATGGAGCTACACTCCCACACTCTGGGGAACCTAGTTTTCAACCTGACACTTGGTACTAGCCAGACTACTGTTGAAGAATAAATAACTGCACATTGGTCTTAGGTTTACAAACAGTTTGAGAAAACTGTAAAACACACACCCAGGGCCTGGCAAAATGTCCCATCTAAGCTCTTGCCAAGTGTACAGTTCAGTAGTATTAGGCACGTTCATACAGCTGTACAACAGTTAGCAGAGAGGATTTGAACATTCCCAACTCAAAGAAAGAATTTTTGTCTGAAGTGATAGATATACCCATTACCCTAATCTGATCATTACACATTATATACTTGGATCAAAATTCTGTACAACAGATCTCCAGATTTTTTTTTTTTTTTTCAGTGCTGGGCATTGAACTCGGGACCTTGTGCATGTGAGGCAAGCACTCTACCAACTGAGCTACATCCCCAGCCCTCCAAATATTCTTCATCCTGCAAAACTCCAACTTTTACCCATTAAACGACTCTCCATTTCCTTCTTCCTTTGTCCCCAGGTTACCTTTATTCTACTCCCTGTCTTAGTCTATGAGTGCCTTAGGTTCCGCAGATGAGTAAAATCTGCATGGCATTTATCTTTTGTGACAGCTCACTGAGCATAACTTCCTCAAGTTTTATCCATGTTGTAGCATATGCCAGAATCCCCCTCCTTTTATTTATTTTTAGGTACTGGGAATTGAACCTAAGCCATATCTCCAGCCCTTTTTACCTTATATTTAGAGACAGGGTCTTGCAAGTTTGCTCGGGGCGTTGCTGAATTACTGAGGCTGGCTGAATTTAGTGAGCCTCCTGCCTCAGCCTCTCCAGCTGCTTGGATTTCAGGCATTTCTCACTGCAACCAGCTTCCCCCGCACACCTTTTTTTTTTTTTTTTTTTGGTAGTTGTAGTTGTAGATGGACAGAATGCCTTTATTTTATTTTTATGTGGTGCTGAGGATTGAACCCAGGCCCTCACACATGCTAGGCAAGTGCTCTGCCGCTGAGCTACAGCCCCAACCCAACCCATCTTCCCCTTCCTTTTAGTAGCAGAATTATCTAACATTGCATGTATTTCACTGCATATTGGGGGAAGGGGGTACCGGGGCTTGAACTCAGGGGCGCTCAACCACTGAGCCACACAACCCCAGCCCTATTTGGTATTTTATTTAGAGACAAGGTCTCACTGAATTGCTTAGCACCTCACTTTTGCTGAGGCTGGCTTTGAACTCATGATTCTCCTGCCTCAGCCTCCAGAGCTGCTGGGATTACAGGCATGTGCCACCATGCCCAGCGTATTTCACTGTATTTTGCTCATTCATTCATCTATTGTCAGACATAAGTTAGTTCTGCTATTGGCTTCTATGAACACAAGGTAGAGATATCTGCTTTGAACATCTATTTGAGGTGCTACTTTCAATTCTTTTGGGTATCCACCCAGAAATGGAAATGCTGAATCATAATGGCAATTGCATAGTTTTTCATTCAGAAAAACTATGGTTTTTTAAAAAATTTTTAGTCGGGGGGTTACCGGGGATTGAACTCAGGGGTGCTCAACCACTGAGCCATATCCCCAGCCCTATTTTGTATTTAGAGGCAGGGTCTCACTGAGTTGCTTAGTGCCTTGCCATTACTGAGGGTGGCTTTGAACTCAAGATACTTCTGTCTCAGCCTCCAGAGCCACTGGGATTATAGGCCTATGCCGCCACGCCCAGCGAGAAGTTTAAAAAAAAGTAAAAAAGTTTAAGCATTTTTAAATTTTTAACAAAGAGATAACTTTTTAATTAACCTTTGCTGAAAGGAGATAATGGCCCCCGCTGCTGCCCTAATACTTAGAAATCGCACAGATGTTTTTCTAGTGTTAGAACAAAGCTCCCAGAGACTGGCCAAGTCTCTGCTCTCTGGTTCAGGGCTGTGATCCCTCAGAGAGACGTATCTGACACAAGGGAGCAGGACTGCAGCTGCCAGTCAGTCCCAGTTAGGAAGAGACAGGGGCAAAATGCTCTTTGTGGTGGCTGGGGAATGTAGCCCAGAGGTTGAACACTTGTCTAGCACTGGAACCTCCAAAAAATGGGAAGAAAAAGAAAGAAAGGAAGCAAGACTTCTGTGCTCCACGCCACTTCCCCAGGTCCAAGTTTGCAGGTTTCACTTAAGGCTCTGCCTGCACCAGTGCCACCCTCCCTGCTCAGCCCCTGCCTCCCAATTACTGCTCCTGCAACATCTGTCTATGAACCCCACGTTTACGGAACCAGGTTTGCTCTGCAGGCTGCACAGTATATCAACCAGGAGAACGTCTTCTGTCCCTTGTCCATATAGTCAGGGAACCAGGAGGGGCTGAGGCTCTAGTAAGGGTCACAGCTAGTTGAGGGGACACACCCACACTGAGCATCTCTTTCCAAGAGTGACCCATTTTCCCTGGGGAGCATCTGTGTGGGGAGGGAGCACCCTCCCAGACAGTCCCCGCGACATCTCGGTGGAGAGTATTTTTGTTACATTCATTAATATAAAAGTATTCAAACCATGTTATAGAGAAATCTAGGAAACAAAT